TTTATGTTTAAAATTTAGTAACTATGTCTTTTTATCTGATAAAGAGTGTTGAGAAAAACAATTTTTATGAAGAATTCACTTTAAGTAAATATTAGAAAGTAGCAGTAATTTGAGTGTTTGCAGGAATTAGTTGCTTTAAAATTACTAAAGTGGTACTCTTTTAACTGTTAGCATTATCGACAATACTATTAACTGCTTAAAGGTTATTTTAATCTAAGCTAGGCGAAGATAATATACTCCAAGCGAAGCTTTTGAACCCTCTTTAAGCATCATTTATAATATTTGCTAGTGAAAAAATGATGTCATAGCAATTATTTTGAGTTTTACTGAATTAAATAGTAACTTAAGGCTGTTGAGTATCACTCCTTTACTGCTGAACTTTGGTCAAGTAAAATGTGTCTATTAAGAAAGTGCTACTAATTTGATAACTCAGAACATTTGAAATGAATGAGAGATTATCGTTTTCCATAATTTAAGCATCATTACCTATTAATAAGAATATATTTAATTTTTTCAAAAAATTATAGTTAAATTTACCTAGTTAAATTTTGATTTTAGTATCTTGTATAGAGCAATTTGGAAGATTGCCAAGAAGTTGAAGAGTACTATCTTAAAATATAGTATTACACTAAAAGTTTTAAATTTATGTCAAAGCAACACCAAAATCAATAATCATAGTAGGAGAATCTATTGCTAAAGTAGCTTGTAAAACAGCAATGTTATTATAGCTACACTCATAGAAAATACCTCTTGTATCAAGTTTATTTTTGCAAATGCACGTATTCCCTGACATTTCCATAGAATCATAACAGTCTAAACATATATCACTTTACTTATATTAACAAGATTTACATGTGTTAGCACATGCTTAGCAATCTGGTTTTATGTATTCTTAGCATTAGACACATTACCACAACGTTGAATCTTCTTTGTAATTATTTGGGCACCACTGATAGCAATATGATCCGAGTTAATACCATCCTTAATAACAGCTACTACATTAGCTTTAAGCTGGTCCTGTGCATGATTAGCATGATGAATGACAATTTATACATTAATAATTTTAAGTAGAATCTCTAAATTAATTTTATGAACAAATATGCATGCATTTACTGACTTACTAAATATACTCATAATCCTATACACAAGTAGTACAGCTTTATCCATTAGTACAAGATGCACAATTATCTATGCAATCAGCACATAAATAGTTATTTTGTGGGTTTCTGTACTAATTCTGATTGCAAATAAGTAAGCAAGAATTTACTTAACTAATATACTCGTAATTGCTTTAGCACTAACTGCAACTTTACCCATCTACGCATTATTGGCAATTGCTAACGCAATTTGTGCAATTATATAAAGTTGAATCTCTATATTAATTTTGTTGGCATATCATTTTACATTAATATACTTATTGAATGAACTCATAGTTTGCTGCACAATTGTCACATTATTTATCTTGAGAACATTATGTGCAATTAGTTATACAAGGGTTGCACTACTAGGCCATGGTTTACCAATTAATAAATGTGAATTATCCTATTGGGCAAATCATTTTGCAATATTATTATGAATTATTATTTGGGTTTGTAGTTTAAGTATATCCACTAATACATTGAGTACAACTTAAATTTTAATCACAATTAGAGCATCCTTGATAACATTGCTATTTTAGGGAAAAATAAAATATTTGATTAAGAAGTTAAATAAATATAAAATTAAAAATTGCTTTAATTTAAAAAACTAAATTTATAAAAAAATTATCTTAATTCTTTAAGATAAAACTAATTAATATTTATCATTTTATATTTCTAAAGTAGTTTGAAATAATTATTTTGATAAAATAATGGAAAATAATTACTGCGCATTATTTTGTTTGAGAATTATATCCATATCCAGAATAACAGTTACTGCAGTCATTAGGTCCAGTACAGGTTTGGCAATTAGCAATACAAGATCTGCACTACTATGTCATGTAAGTATTTTCAATCACGAAATTGTACTATCCCACTGCACAATTTTTTTAGCAGTACTGTAGGGCGCTATTGTTTGGATTCACCATCTGAGTGTATCCACTCATGCATTAAGTACAACTTTATTTATTTTAGCTACAATTAGAGCATCCTTCAACACATGTTAGTTTCTAAAGTAAAGAGTATAATTAATTAACGAATCAAAATAGGTTTGAAGTTTTTAAATTAGGGAAATAATTTTGTAAGTTATTAAAAATAGAATTCAATTTCATGATAAAAATATATCAAGTCTATGTTTGTCTTTAATCAAACTAATTTAAAAAAATCTTAACTTCAAATAATTAAAAATAAAATTCAATAAAAAAAGCAACATTACAACACATAATTTTTATTGAGAATCAAAATAGTATCCAGTAATACATTAGCTGCATTGATTTTGATCAGAACAGATTAAGCAATTGCTAATACAATTTTAACAATTTTACGTAAGGGGATTTTAACCAATAAAATGAGTATATTATCCATTTGGGCAAATTCTATTGCAAATTTTTTAATTCTAATTAAAATAACTAGAAATCATGTAATTAAATCCACTTAAGCAAGAATTTTCTTTGCAATTTTAACCATCAAGGCAATCGTAACACCCTTCTTGACACTTTTATTTTAATTAAAAGTAAGCAATTAAAAAGTTTGAATTTTTAAAAATACAGAAAATAATTTTATTAAACAAAATTAGGAAGGTGGAAGGGCAGCTGAATGCCTATTTAGGTATTACCTAAAGTAATAAAATTATTCATTTGAAAAAGCAAAAATTAATATCATTATTTTTTTGCCTTCCTCTAAAATCGAGTTAAAAAATAAAAAATATTTTAAAGAATTTTGCAGGAAATAACCAAACTAATTTAATGATTAACTTTTGATAATTATAGTAAATAATTATTTAACTAATTTAGATAGTTATATTTTATTTTAAAAAATATCTTTTGAATTAAATTAAATTTCTAAAATACCTGAATCTATTATAGCGTTATTTCAAATTAATAAATATAAGAGTTACCAGAATTAGAAATTGTAATAGTAGCACTATTTTATTAGCTATTAAAAGTTATCGTATTAAAATAAGAATAACTGTAGCTTAAAAACATTGGTATGTCTATACAATTAGGACTGGTTGGATCTAATGGTCTTGTATATCCTTCTCCACTACTACCTGTAGTTATAATATATGGTTATGGTGATACTACTGTAGGTGATTTCATAGATATTTTGTAATTAATAGCTCTAAAAGAAGGACTTTTTAATAAAATAAATAAAATAAAATTTTTTTCATGAAAAAAAAAGAGATACACTTTCTAATGTAAGATATAAACATTTACTCCATTAACATTTCCAACGCTTTTATTATTGCACATAGTATAATCCCTTGGTTAAAAGTTAGTTTGAATACTATCATATTGCGCAGTCATTAAGTTCATATATTATGCTGAAATCAAACTTATTAGCAAAAGCAGATCTTATAAATTAAAAATAAATTTATTAAAAATAGATTTTATATTTCATTTACAAAAAAACTTTTAAAGCAGATTGCCTATTTTGGGGTATTCCTTTATTGACATTTAGTTTTTTTTTTTTTTGAATTTTTTTAATTAATAAATAATATATATTTAAAGCTGAATATGCTTCAGATTTATAATTCCCTCTTTAAGGAACAATTTAAAAAACAAGTAAATTTCTTTTATAAGACTACTCAATTTTGATTGAATCCCCATCCTCTAAATATCATAAGTCCTATAACAATTTAGATTGATAATCACAAGAAATAATTGATTTTAATATATCTTAATTTTATAACCATATGCGCCTGTCTTTGCTAAGGCTTATAGTCCTGAGCAGAGGTTAAATAACTATAAAAGTTACATTTATTTATTCAAATAAATATTCCTAAATTTATAAATAAGCAAGTTCTTATTTTTAAAATAAAGATAAAATAAGCTATAGATATTATTTCCCTTGATATAACTTTTATGATTCTTGAGTAACAATACAAAAAAAAAACATATAATTATCTAACCAGAGTTAGTTTTCAGCAATCAAAACTCATTATTGTATTGCTCATTATATTAATTAACAGAAGAATAAATTTAATTAATACGTCACAAATACGTTTTTCCTTAATGAATAACTAAAATTATGAATTGTAATTCTTGCTTTTCTTTTGCTTTGAATTACATGGCTCAATCCGACTATTTGTAACCTTGACAGATTTATAATATAAAAGAAAATTTTCAGTTTGTTTTTATAATTTATTATGAAGTTAATCATCTTCACTTTTATATTTGGAATATAAAATATTATATTGAATAATTGAAAAAACAAATGTTTATTTATGTCAATTTTCTGTAAAAGTTTTGAATTTTATATTAATTCTAAGTTCCTTAATTATGAGTAAATTAAAGATACCTCATTTGTTAGTACTAATAGGAAAATTAATAAATAATTAAAAGAATCTGCCTATTTCCAACTCTATAAAGATACATTTAATAATAATAGTCCCTTATTTTAACTTACAATTTTTCTGCTGAGATCATAAAAATTGAGGTACTCGAGAAAAGAAAAAGCTGATGGTTATTTTTGACTTTTTAGACTATAAAATTCAAAAACTTTTTTTAAAAAATGAGAATGAAATTTATACATCATCTTCTACACTTACTTAGCTTTGTTTTGTTTGAAGTCTGAAACTGATAATCATGAAAACTTTAAAAATATTTTGCGTTTAATTAATGTAATAAATACCCTTAACCTTTATCAATCTCAAATTATAAGAATTCATACATTACCTCTTTAAAACGCTCTTCTACCACTAAACGCTTATGATGATGCCGGTTAACAATTAAAAACTTTTTTCTTCTTGATTAAAGTATTCATAAATGAAATATAAATATTCAAAAGTAAAAACTGTTTCGAAACATAAATGGATTGTAAGCCTTTTATCAGTAATAATAAAGAAAATGTAAATTAAATTAAATTGAATAAATTAATAATTACATACATACACACACATTATAATGACATAAAAGAAATTTCTTAGAAATTAATATTGGTTTAGGATTATAATTAAATATCAGTTTTATTGATATAATTAATTATGAAATTCGTAATTTTCAATTAATTTTTTTGCCTTTTTCCTTTAATTTGTTTAAATTTTTTTTAATAATTTTCCTTCTTCAATTTATTAAAAGATTCTAGCTTAGAAATTTAGTCATTTTTCCTTTTATTTTTGGTTAGAGAATTTATAATCGGAGCATTATTAGATCAGCAGGTTTAAAAAAGTGATCATAATTTTTCTTCTACCAAATCTTTTACTTTGGAGGGCACCATTTTTAGACTTTTTAAAAAACTTTTATTGTTAGTATACTAAAAAACCTCATGACCAAAAAATTATTTAAAAAAAAAATTGAAAATTGCATGCCCTCGTTAGATATACATTTATATACTTTACCCTTGTAAAAATGATCGCTGCTGAAAAACAGGATGCAGGCATGCTAAATTCTTAATCAGAATAATTGAGATAGATCTTTATCAATATTTTAAAAATTCGTACAAAAAGCATGTAAAACATAATAATACATCCAAAACTTAAAAAAAATGGCTGAACCGCTTCAGTAGTGTAAAAATAATGTTGACTAAAGCTATCACTAATGGAAGAGAGGATATAAGATTTGAATTTACTAAGAAATCTCATTAAGAAAAATGATTGCAATTCTATAAGCTTCCTTACAGATATAATAAAGAGCATATTATTTATCCTACACATAATTCTACTAAATATATAAAATTAGTGAAGAGAAAGTAAATCATCCTCTCTAAAAAAGATTAGTCCTTATTTTATTGATGATACCTGCTAATGCAGTATTTACAAAGAATAGCCTGATTAGCAACTGTGTAGATAAAAGCATTCATGTAACTTGACTCAATTTATGATAAAATATATATTATAAATCTTAGGATAGAACTAAAGCCATTTATCTAATTATTAGCGCAGCTTTTTGGTACAGTTGTCTTGATGCTATCTATACCCAAACATCCATAAATGAAAATTTCAATTTTGGATTTGACGTTTTCATTATTGCTTAGAGCTGAAGTGTGGTTTGAGATTTTTGAAAAGTCCAAGCAATAAAAACCTTTAAGATTAGGTTTTATACATTAAATAACATCAAGCTGAAGGAATTAATTAATATTTAGAGATATGTTATAAAAAACAATATGAACTAAATATATTTTGTCTTTTGAGTTAAATTAAAGGCCATTAACAGTTTCGAATCTGAATTTAACTGAATCATTTGTTAAAGATACATCAAGCCTATCATAAGTCATAAAATTTTTAATCTGAAGCAGGTACGATCTGATTAGTAGAGTATTACTTAATAATATAAATGAAAAATGAAAGAGTAGATATGCCAAAAATTCTAATAAGGATTGTAGCAAATATAGTCTTTGTTATTTTATCAACCAACCATTAATGCTAAAATTAAATTATGAAGAAAATAAGTTCAATTTTTAATTGTAATTTTTTGTTTTATACCTTTATTGAATGAATATACAACTAATATTTTCCTGTTTTTTTGATGACTACAAATTCTAAATAAAGATTTGAGGTACTTTATTAGAATATGACCTCTTTAACATAAAAATTATGCTTGAACGTTTGATTTCATCAAGTAAAAAAGGATTTTAGAAGAGAATATAAAATAAAAATTAGCTTATAAAACTTAAAAATAGCAAAATTTTTTTGATAGAGGAAACATATACTTATAAATTTTGCCTTAAAATATTAAATTATAAAAAAATATAGAAATATTTAAAAATTTGAGAAATAATTTTTTAAAAATAAAACCCCGGAGAAAAAGGCTTTGAGATGAAAAGATTAGCAAGGCAATGGGTTTTTTACCTGTACTGATCTAAAAATGCTCCGATTGTAAATTCTCTAATAAAAAATAAAACTAGCTTATAAAACTTAAAAATAGCAAAAAGTTTTTTGGTTGAGGAAATATTTACTTATCAATTTTGCCTTAAAATATTAAATTATAAAAAAATATTTTTATTTAAATCTAAAATATTTATTTAAAAAACTCCTTTTTGCATATTATCTCTTGGAGCTATTGATAAATAAATCTAAAATAATAAATTTAAACTACTTAAAATATTTTTTATTTGACTTGGATTTAAAGGAAATTAAAAAAAAGATCAATTTAATTAAAGTTAATTTAAAAATTATTTTAGTTAAAAGTTTATGAAAAAAAATAAATTATTTGTATTAAACCCGTCTAGCTCAGTCGGTAGAGCGCCAGCCTTTTAAGCTGGTGGTCGAGGGTTCGAGCCCCTCGGTGGGTGATTTTTTATTTTATAGCAAATCATTATTTTTTAATCAAACAAGAAATTATTAAAATTTTTTTTAAGTAGTTTCAATTAAACCAAAACTAATTTTAGAATAACTTCATTAAAACACCAAAAAAGTGAATTTATATTTATAAATAAACCCGTCTAGCTCAGTCGGTAGAGCGCCAGCCTTTTAAGCTGGTGGTCGAGGGTTCGAGCCCCTCGGTGGGTGATTATTTTTAGTATAAAATTATAGCGCTATCAATTCAAAACAACTTTTTTCTATTTTTATAATATAAAAATATCATTCAAAGTAATTTATATATTCATTCATTCTTCTGTTTCAATCTAAGGTTTTGATCTTAAAATTTCAATAATTGAAAAAAAAGGAGAAGCTTAATTAATATGAATTCAAGATTTCAAAGAATGTGATAACACTTTTCAGTTAAATCTAAATAAAGATTAGAGTCATTAATAGTTAATTTAAGCTTAAGAGAGTTTTCTTCAAATAAAATGAAAGATTTGGAAATTTTAAGTAATTAATTAAATAGAATATCTATCTATTGAATTTTTATAATATTTAAAGAAAATAATAAAAGTATCTGCTATCATTAACTATTTTCATTAGATATTAAAATTTTAACTATTCAATATTTTATTAAAATATTACTTGGAATTATTGATAGGATATCTATCTATCTAGTAGGAGTTTTGCATTAATTGATTAAAACGGGTATTATATAAAAATTATTTAAATTCAAACTAAATTCCAATAAAAATATTTAAACAATAAGAAAAAAAATCAATTAAATAAATTTTCCATATCATACAAAGCTAATAAATGAGCTTGAGAAAAAAAACTAAAATAAAGTATTAAATCATATATTAAATAATTTAACCATATTTCTATCATAATGTTATCAGTTCTTTTCATTCTTTTAGCTCTTTGGTTTAATTTTAGCACGTCTTAATCATTTATATAATTATTCCTATTTTAATAAATAAAGATATCATAAAAAAAATGATTTTTTAGTAGAAATTCAAAGTATGGAAATTGATTAGCAATAAACTATATTTTATTTTTGAATTAATAGAATTAATAATTTAAATCAAAATAATAAAATTTTTAAAAATTAATTACCTTAGATTAAGTTTTAAATAAACAAATTTCATAAAAGTCATAAGATTATTAACAAATTAATCATATTTTTATCAATTTATATTACTCTTTTTAAGCGAAAATATAATTCTTTAATCTAAGATACTCTGATTTGAACTATTCTGATTTCTATTTAAGAATTTTACTAAATTTTCTTCCATATATTATTCTAATTATTAAATGGCAAGCTAACTTTCGTAATGACTTAGATTTTTTTCTTTTTCTGGTTAATTTGTAAGAATGAATAAATATAAAAATTCAAACAAATATAAAATTTTACCTAGTTATTCAAAGCTCACATTCATATTATTTAGATTAAGATCTAAAAAGCTTGATGAACATCCAATAAGTTGCAGAGTTGCTTATTGATCTTTAGTAAGTATCATCATTACTGTTTTTTTCAAAAATATGATATCCTTAATAATATTCATGATATTCATTTCTTTAGCAATTTATTCTTCAATCTATCTGAATGATTATTTATCCAGCTCTTTCACTTCACGACTTGGTTTTTTGAACAAACTTTTAAAAATTAATAAATAAATAAAGATAACCTATTTGCTTGCATCAAATTTATAATTTTTTACCTCATCCTAAATAAAACATCTTAGATTTTTGTTTTCATGCTCTAATTGTAAATATTTTAAATGTTTTAAATGTAAAAATTTTAATTCAATTCTGTTTTTTTATTTTCTTAACTAATTTTTGTGTTTATAGATGGACGCCTCATAAAATTTACAAAACTTGATGGTACTTTTTTATTTGAGAAATTAATGTGAAATTAAAATTTAATTAATTAATTCTATTATTTATATTTATATATATTTTGCTTAGCTTTTTTTTTCAGTGTCAAGTATTAAAAATAATAATTATTAATTGCGACTAAATTTTTAATTAAATAATTTTCAATTTTATTATTTTTTATTTTCTTTCTATATTTATAACACAGACACAAGAAAGCATTTATTAAAGATTCGATAATAAAAATGGCTTCTAAAATGAAGAATGCTATCTTAAAAAAATACAAGTTTATTGTTTTATATCAATTAGCTAACCTGAATATTTTTAATTCAGAAAATACTCAAATATTGATAAAAAAAATATTTTTTTTTAATATTAACAAATTAATGTAATAGGGAAAAGAGGATATTCCTTATCAAAAATTTTAAGCATTTTACTAATTTTATTTATTATTTTATTAAATTTTTTAACACTGTTCAAACAGTAAATGTAAGATTTAATTATGAAAATTATTTAAATTAAAAGTTTCTGTAAAGAAAATAAATAAAATTTAACGAATTTAAAGATAATGCTAATATAAATTTGATTAGATTTAAAATAAACAATACATAATATAAAACAATAACAATAAAATTTAATACTATTTATTTCAGATAGTTAAGCTTGACACAACTTTGCTTAAACCGAAAATAGTATATAATTTATAGAATATTTTCCTCTATTATAAATTTTTCAATGTAATAATCTTAAGAAATGCCAAGATTGATTAAACAACGATAAAATCAATTCCTATAACTAGAAAGAATTAAACGTATTTTGAATTAGCATAACTTGGCTCTTCGTTACTTATAACAGCTAAAATTACGTAATAATAAAATAATAATAAACATACCATAAAAAATGTAGATAATTTTTGACCTATTCTTGTTATTTTATGCACTAATTCTATAAAGAAAACTCCAACTTCTACTATTATTGCGCTAACTATTGAAATTACTATTTTTTAAATTACATTGTAACTTTCATCAAATACTGTTGACAGACATAAAGAGTGGACTACCCTCAAGTAAATAATATTGAATCTTATTGGTCTTGAAAGAGATGGCTCATATGTATATATTGTATTAAAGTATGCGTGAAACACTTTAAATTATATTAAAAGAGATAATTTTTTAAGATGTTCAATAGTTTAAATTTCATCTTCCTTTAATTTAATATCTTCATTTATTAAATTAATTTTGCTGCTCTAATCTTAAAATGTACTTACAGTTGTCTTATTTGAATTAATTAATTTGTCTTATTATACTTCTTAAAAAGCTATTAATTAACCTTAATTTAGCTTTTCATCTTAAATTTGTGGTTACTTTAACTCTTAAATCTACTCTGATTAGACTTATTCCTAAATTTAAAGCGGTTAATTATTAAGATTTTTCAGCTAATTTGGTTACTCGGTTGATATTTAATTGTCTAATTTTAAAATTTCGATTTAGTTTGATTCAATTTTTTCATTTTTTAAAATTGTTAAAGTATTTAAAAATTTTTGTTTTTTTCTTCTTGCTTGACTATTAGAATTTATGAAAAAATTCTAATTTTAATTGTTATTTTACTATATAACACCATTTAATTCTTAGATACTTTAGTATTGCAAACTTGGAGTCTAATTTTTTTAACTAATAGGAGGATTTTCTTATTCAGATGCAGCCATTGGCATAATCTATGAGATAGTAGTTTTGCTAAATTTTTTGTCTAGAATTGTACCATATTTATATAAACCCAATTATAATAAAGTTATAGTAAAAATAGTCCAAACAAGAGCATATTAATAAAATATATCAAAATTAGTTAATTTATTAAATCCTTATGAACTAAAAGCTGTTTTTAAATTTTTATTAATAAGCAATGATTCTAGATCATCAATCACAGTTGTAGGACTTGTGCTTTTGCAGTAGCAATAGTATTTATTATTGTTAGTTAAATAGGTACATCCATTAGAAGACCAAGCTTATGATTATTGCATTTAAAGGCATGTTTAATTATTATTAGAGGGTTAAAGGTCTTAAAATTTAAAAATAAAAAGTTTTTATTGATTATCCTATTAATTTTCATTAATTAATTTTCTATTGCTAAGTATATCTCTCGCTTGTTCAAAGTTAGAACCTTATTGATATAATAATCTATTTGAGCTTGCATTTACTAAGTCTAATGAATATTTTATTACTGGATTCATAGTAATTGCTATGCTTGAGTCTACTTATTTTAATTCTTAAATATATTTCTAGAATTCAGATGTTTGTTGGAAGGGATTTCTAGAATAAGTAGTCTAACCTAAATAATAGACGTCTGCTGCTAGTGAATCCTAATAATCATTAATAATATATTTAAGGTTTTTTGAAGTAATTTATGAGCAATCAAGTGATATTAAATTTCCTTATAGCTATACTCCTCCTTAATTAGGTAGAGTTGCTTTACTTAGGTAACTGCATATTTAGTCTGATATATTCATTTGTTGAGATATCAAATTATTTTAAAGAGTTTAAGTAGTCGAATTTAATACTTTAAAAGAGTCTACTACATTTTGAAGAAAAACATTATTGTTATTTATAAACATATTATCCTAACTAATTAAAGATTATTAGTTTTATAGAATTCCATTAAGGAAGCTTAGAATAGGGATGATCTAAGATTCTTATTAAATAGTTAAAGATTGTTGTAGTTTGGCAATTACTTTGTTTGCATATGTTGATAGTAAAGATGAATTAGGTAGAAAATTGACTTAGTTTATTATTAATTAAATGAGCTAAGATTTTTTAGTTTTAACTGATTCAAGGTTATAAACTGGGTAGTTCTTAGATATTTCTTCTCCTATCACACATAGGTTTAAAATAATTTAGGAAATTGTTTAGTCACTATTAATTTGTAAAGCTTAGTCAATAATACTGTTTATTTAAATTTCGTTTTGAGCAAATGGTTATATGTTTACCTATACAGTTGTATTGTAAACAGCTAAAAAATTATCAATAGCCTAACCCATTAATATTAAATTCCCTGAAGGGAGTACAGTATAAAATTCGTTTTGTAAGCTTTAATCCATTATTTACCTTCTTAGGATGTAATTTGGGGATATCTATTCTTACTAATAATCAGTATCACTAAGGTAGTAAAAGAATTAATAAGATATAGGTGAATTAGCTGAGGTGCAACCAGACATTTTTATTTAAAAAATTGTTTATAGAGCTTATCCACTAGGAGTGTTTACAGATAGTACACAATTTTTGGGTGGTAAATTTATATTAAAATTAGTAATACTTAAACTAGGCATAATGTAATAAGGATTGTATGCACTGAATCTGACTTATACAATAGGGTTTGATGGAAGAACATTTACGAAATAATCCCAAATTCTAAACCTCACTTTATAATAATCAAATTTTATAGCTCCTACTACCATATTATTATAAAGTATTGCACCAGCATAGCTTAGCAAGTCAGATGAAACATTACTTCCATATATGAGAGTTGCATCAATATCTTAGTTAATGTTGACTTATATCAACTAAGATAGATCCTTAAAGTTAGCAATTAAAATAGGAATATCAGTTTCTGATAAGATGACCATAGTTGATTAAGATTACTAACGGGAATCTTTGGTTCCTGTAAAAGTAAACAAAAGAGATTAATATGGGCTAAAAGTAGAACCTGGTATCGAAATACTAGGAACATTTTGCTGCAAAATAATTGGGTGATTATTATAGTCATAGCACTTATTATCATTTTGATTAGAGGTAAGGGAAACGCAATCCCACTTTAAATTAATTTGTTAATCTTAGTTTGGGTCTTCAAGCTCAAAGTCTCTTGCTAATCCAGTTAAATTTAAGGGCTGTTTGAAACCAAACACTCCTTTTTATCCACCTACAATCTATATAAATAAATTAGATATGTTAGGTGTAATAGTTTAAGATTTTAAATTAGTAATTGATGAATCACTGACTAGAGAGGCATTTACCTTTATTATTATATTTTTAAACAATTTGATAAATATTTAAATTTTAAAATTTAGTTTACGTTTAAATCAAAAATAGTTTAAGGAGGAATAGAATATTTTTTGACTAAAATTTATGTTTAATTATATTTAAATTGTGATAGGTTTTAATTCAGCTTTGGCACACTTTTAGAGTTTATCTATATGTTAAGAGGTTCGTTAGTAATTTTTGGTCCACTCTAATCACATATTTGCACATAGAAAGAGACATAAATTTGTAAATCCATATATCTATTTTTAAAATATTTTTTTTTATTT